AAAAAGAAGTTCCAGACCTACTGTCTCACTGACTGATCTGAAGAAAAAAAATGCGGAGTAAAAAAAGAAAGCTTTAAAAAAAATATTAGCAAAGTATTACGATAATGCTCATTATATTATGTATGTTATAGGTCAAACAAGATGGCTGTTACTATAAATACCGGCCAATGGCTTACTCCTAACGTTCTCTAACTATCCGCTTGTGTTCATTAGTGCGGTCAAAAATTCATGGCGCGACTTATTGTCAAATATTATCTCCTCAACTATCGAACATAAACTTTCCAGCTTTTGTACAGCGACTTGCATCAATTTGTTTCAACAAATAAATATTTTTGTCAACACCTGTTAGCTATATTCTAGAAAATTCCTTAAAAAATACTAATGAAAAATCCCGATGAGTTGTTGCTACTGATTTTAAAAGGTTTACAGCGGCGGCAATATCGCTTTTAAAAACAAGTCCGTATTTTTTTTCTAATGACGAGAGTATCTTTATTGAACACATATTTTGAGAACTTTTACTTTTACTGCAAAAGAGTGTTGACAATAGAATTGATTACTTGTAACAAGTTTTGCCTTTAAAAGGTATCATCGGTGAGCTGTGACGTAGGCCATACGCGTAGGCAAAATGTGTGTGAGGAGCGGGAAGATTTTTTCATATGTTGGAGATTTTTAGTGTTATATATAAATTTATGAAGATAACTTTTAAAATCCAGCTTCAATATTTGTGAAAAGATATGATTAGGTTAAGATAAATCGATAGAAACTGCTGTGCAAAGAAGGGGGGATAATGATTCACCTGTTAAAGAGATATTTGAGGATAAACTACGCCAGGAATTTTTGACCGCACTATATTTCTGTCCCCCACCAGGCTTTCCCAAGAGTGGAACCACAGACCTCCACTCCAGGATCTCAGCCCACCCACTGGTCAGCGTGTTCTCCCGGAAGGAGCCACACTACATGACCAGGAAGGTGTTTAAACATGTCACGTGTGCTCCAGGCCATGAGGAACTAGGTCAGATCTGTTCTAATGATTGTTTGTGAGTACGTTATATGGACGAGAGAGAGGGAGGTGGAGAGAGAGAGAGAGAGAGAGAGAGAGAGAGAGAGAAATAGAGGGAGCGAAATAAAAAAAGACAGTCCGTGCTAGACCAACTCGTCACCGTCATTCAACATTGAAGTTTGTCAAAATTTCAAAAATTTGAAAATCAAGGGTTAGTTTGTTGTAGAATTGATAAACTGCATCGTTTGATCCTAATCTAATTCCTAATCTTAAAACAGTAACGACTTTACAAGAAATACAATTTTGCATTACTGTAAAAGATATCGTTCTGTTCGAAACAAAACAGTTTTCTGCTTCCTTACATTTTTCAACCAGCGCCTCGTAACGATTTTCTTTTCGCTCATGTGCAGCATTGATGATGAGGATGTTGTCTTCGTGAGGCACTATCCTGTCCTCTTCCTCCTTCTGCTCCTCCTCCTCGACCTCCTCCTCATCCTCCATCTCCCCCTCCTCCTCCCCTTCCTTCTCCTCTCCTTCTCCTCCTCCTCGTCTTCCTTTTCCTCCCCCCCTCCTCCCCTCCTCCTCCTCCCTCTACACCAATGCTCAACGTGTGTGTATCTTGCAGCAAGAACAAGCTGTGAGATCCTGACATACACCAATCCTCCTCCTCCTCCTCCTCCTCCTCCACCCCCACCAACACTCAATGTGTGTATATCTTACAGCAAGAACTAGCTGTGAGATCCTGACATACGCCAGAACATTCTACAAGACAGTAGCTCTTGACATTCTCCGACGTGGCAGAAAGGACTGGTCCGGTAAGCCACAGTGTAGTATTATAATATTCCAAAGATCGTACATAACAAGATAGTTCACTCAGCCAAAGATCGTACATTTCAAGGTGTTTATGTGTCTCTGTGAGTGTGTGTGAGTGTGTG